ATTACAAGCACAGACTTCCCTCACCTCGGACAAAGGACATAAGCCCAATTGACAAAAAAACAACCACAACAGAAAACACGCAAGAAAAAAACCTTGGACAACCCCCCAGAACAAATAAAGAAATATGACACTGTAATTAAAATAAAAGAGGGAGAAACGGGAAATATGTCAACCGAACTCAAAAAAGTCATAAAACCGAAAGACATGGAAGGTACGCAAATTAGACATACAAGAACGGCTATAGTACTAACCTCACAAACTAAGGAAAAACAAAACGAAATATTAAGACGGACACAACAATCAACAACACTAGACATAAAGGACGGTACCAGACAAAACGAACCGACAGCAATACTTACGGGACTACGCAAGGAAATGACAATGGACGAACTGACAGACGCATTAAAAATGGAAAACGACGACCTTAACGAAAATTTCGGGGACAGACTCAAACTACTTACAGTCGTATCGACCCGGCCTTGCCGCAACCCTTACAAAGAGAACGTTTACATACGGGGACCAAAGGACATTATTAAACACCTCTTAAAATCAGGGAAAGTATACGTAGACTTCCAGACTATATTCATCAATGAGGCTACGCAAATCGCACTTTGTTTTAGATGCTGTCGATATGGACATGTATCTAAATACTGTAGAGAGACGACACCGACATGTTACCGGTGTGGAGATGGACATGACAGAAATACCTGTAACAAAGACATTTATAATTGTATTAACTGCGAGAGACTAAGACTGACACCACGCGGACATCAAGCTAGAGACGCTAATTGCCCTATATACAACAAGAAAATGGACGAGGCTCGGGCTCAGACATCTTACAACTAGACAGACAGACAAACAACCCACAAACAAAATAACAAAACAAAACAAGACTTAAACAAACACACAAACACAACAAACAAACACAAAACCCGATTGACAAATAAAAAAGAGTATGAAGCTCATACAATTTAATATGGGACGGGGAATTCAGGCAGCAGACCAATTAATGAGAAAAATGTGCACTGAGCAAATCGACATAGGTTTAATACAAGAACCTGCACATACACTAAACTGACAACACATATACAATATAATCAATAAAGACAGTAAAGCACCCATACTCATACACAACAGATGGACAAACAAAACAATCACACACAAAGACATGACAGACTCCAACACCACAACCATCTCCATACAAGTAACGACAACGAGAAATATAACAATAATCAATATTTACGACGAACCGGGAGGAGACACGAACAACAGACTAGACAGACATAAACAACAGATAAAGAACATCACAACAAAAATTATAATCGGGGGAGACATGAACGCAAAGAACTCCAGCTGGGGGGGACAAATCACAAACACAAGGGGGGAAGACATCATAACATGGGCAGTACAACAAGACATGACAATTAACAACACACACGACAGCCCACCGACATTCAACTCAAACAGAGACAAAAGCTGGGTCGATCTAACCATTACAAAAGACATCTACATACAAAATTGGCACGTTTCAGACGAAGACACACTTAGCGACCATCAATACATAACGTACAACACAGACAAAACGACATACCAACGCAGACAAAACGATAAGGTAACTTGTAACCTACAAAAGATAGACAAAACCAAACTAAGACAAGCAATAGAAAATACAAACTGGGCCAACACAGACGGAAATATACAAAGCCACGCAAAATTAACCCAAAATAAAATCCAACAAATTCTCAAAAACAATACAACAACGCGCAGAGAAAAAAAAAGACATAAAAACACAAGCATGGTGGACAGAGGACCTGGACAAAATGAGACAAGAAACTAACAAAAAACGAATAACCTACCAACTAGAACAAAACGGACATCTAAGACAAATGAAACACGACGCATATATTCGACAAAGACGCATCTACAAAACAAAGATAAAAGACAGCAAACGACAATCACTCAGACATACCCTGACTACAAACGATCCAAACAATCTATGGGAAACGGCACATAAGATCATAAAAAGTAAACACACACAACCAAACATATTAACAACAATTAAGAGGGAAGACGGAACATGGACGAAAGACAGAAAAGAGACGATCAAATACCTACACACAAAGTACTTTCCGACAGATAACGAAAACGAAGACACCGACGAACAACATACACTCAGATTAAAAACGTACACTTTCGCAGAACATGGTCCAGAACCAGTAATAAACAAGACAGAAATAGTAAACACACTAACGGACATGAAACCAAATAAAGCCACAGCAAAAGACGGACTAAACAAAGAAATATTACAAATAATAAACGACATAGACAGCGACATACTACACAAATTATATAACGACTGCCTCGACAAGGGTATTTTTCCCGACATCTGGAAGGCAGCAGATATGGTATGGTTACCCAAAAAAGACAACGGACAACGACCAATCTGCCTACTACCGACGATGGGAAAAATACTGGACAAAATCCTAGCAAGACGACTGACATACCACTTAGAAAGCACAAACGGACTAAATGACAAACAATACGGATTCAGGGAAGGGAGGACAACAATAGACGCGACACATAACGTTATAAACAAAATCAAAGACAACACTAGAGACAAAAGACACTCACTAATCATTACATTAGACCTGAAAAACGCCTTTAATACGGCCTGGACACCCAAAATAGCGGACATACTACAAAGACGAAACGTACCGACAAAACTTGCCAAAACTTGTATAGACTTTTTGAGAAACAGACAAATACAAACAGAAGACATAACAGAAGACATAACAGACAAAACGGACCGAGGATGTCCACAGGGCTCAAGCCTAGGGCCAATCTTCTGGTTACTAATAATGGAGGATTGGTTCGACAGCTTAGCGACAATCACAACAGACATAGACATGACACAAGCTTACGCGGACGACCAAATACTGATAATAAGAGGAACATCACTAAGACAACTGGAAAACAAATGGGACGTGACATGGTAAATATGCAAAAAATGGGCAGAAGACAACAAACTGACTTACAATATGACAAAAACAGAAATCATGTTCATACCACACAAACCGACAAGAGAACCCAGACTAACAGGAGACGGACAACAACTACAAATACAAAACCACATAACGTACCTAGGCCTCACCATAGACAACAAACTGACGTGGATTGAACACATTAAACGAACTAGACAAAAAACGACGGACATAGCAAACAAACTATACGCAATAACAGGACGCACGTGGGGACGCATACCAGACATTCTTAGATTCATGTACGAACACGGAATAAAACCAATGATACTATACGGTTCAGAACTATGGGGACAAAAACATAGAGACACACGCATAACAAGACACCTACACTCGACAGAACGACCTTTTTTACTGAGGATAACAAAAGCATACAAAACCACGACCAACTTGACACTGCCGGTACTAGCCGGGATACCTCCACTGGCAGCGGACGCAGGGGCAAATCACTATACATACAATACATTCTACATCGACATACTACAAAACAGAATCAATACCACTGACAAACCACATCCGGCATACAGGAAACTCAATACAGAACAACACGGACACACGACACATACTATTATACACACAGACGCCAGCATCAAAAACAACAATAAATCAGTAGGAATCTCAATACAAAACAACAACAACAACAACAACAACACACATACAGGCATCAAAATAAAAGTGGAGACAAACAAAGACATAAATACCCTGGAGACAATAGGTGTGACGCAAGCCGTAAAACACATAACAGACAACCACGTAAAATACATAAACAATCCTCACAGACTCAACAACAACAATAGCCTCGTTAGACAAAAACAACACAAGACATAAACTCATAACAGAAATACAAAGACTAACACATTCCATTAAACAACATAACATAAATATAACATTTGGTTTCGCACACAGATCAACAGAAGGAATTAAAAAAGCACACAAACTGGCAAACGAGGCACACAACGAGTATACACAAACAATACAATATCAAGACAAAACAGACATAAGAAAGAAAAAACACGACAAAACAATGACACTTTGGCAAGACACATGGACAACATGAATAACAGGACGAACAGCACACGACATCATAAAAACAGTAAGACACAAATACATACAAATAAACAGGAAAACAGTTCAACTTCTAACAGGACACGGGAATATGAATGCGTATCTGAACAGATTCCACCTACAAGACACTGACGGCACCTGCGACATAGACGGACAAAACGAAGACACACGACACATAATTTACGATTGCAACGGACATGACAGACAAACAGCTAGGTCACGATTCAGACAAAGACTGACGGAAAAAGGACTCAATTACTTACCTCAAGACCTAGACATAACGGACAGCACACTAATGAACTGGACAAACGAATGGGCAGACAAACTTCTACAAGACGACGAACCGAGGACGTAACCACAAAAATATAACTGCGGTTTTGTGAACCTAGAAGACATAGCCACATAAACCCACATGTATCCAAAGGGTAACACAAAAAATGTACAGATTAGCTATAAGGAATTTTTATGTTTATTTATTATTTATTCTGAAAATTTATTTAATTTATTCATTCTAACTTTTATTTACTTTACTCTTCGCTTGAGAACTTCTATTTATCCTCTAACTATGTTTTGATAAACTTCTGGCAAACAGTATTTATTTGAAAACCTGCATATTTTTAACCAATGTTAACCTAATTACATTGCACTTGCATGCTCAAGTACCAAGGACAAATTTATTTTATATTATTCTATTTTATTTTTAAACACATTTATTTATTTTCATTCTGCTTGCGAGGCGTAAACTGCCATGCCACGCCTTCAATTAAACCCATGCTTGAGAATTTTGTTGGGGCAATACCTGTACTTTTAAATTAAAAAAAAACATGTAAACACAAACGGCTATGTAATAAATAAAAATTTGTAAGTTTTTTGGGAAATAAAAATCAGGGCATAACGGTCTTCTCCCCGCTCATTTTTGGAGTGCGGAGTTGGGATGGGTTCCCTTGTTAGTGGATTCGCTGGATATCGGGTAAATCATGCCCTATGCCTAAGGGTTGGGGGGCCGGCCCCTTAGGCCTAACAATCATTCTCTGTATCAAGTTCACTTCAGCTTCGGACGCGTACGAAGCAGGTGTGTCTGTATTTTATCGAGAAAGTGAGGTTAAATTCGCTAGTGAGTGAAATATCCAAACGAGCTCTAGGGCTCCGGTGTTATAGAAAAAGGCGACGCGCATGTGCCAAAATATTCCAATGCAAAAGTGAAGTGCAAGTGAGGGGCCCATACGTGCGCAGAACACTTTTTAATTTAGAATATAGCCGCGCCAGTGCCAAACGACAAACGCCGACGCGAACTTCGTGTTTGGACGAAAAGATAAGTCAATCGTGAGTGCGGTGACCGACAAGTATCGCTCGTCGAGGTTCTCGCAGATTCTGCCGACGGGCTGACAAGCCGGAATACCGCGACACTTTCGAGTCGGTTCTCGAGAACCGAACTTATAGTTGAACGCAATTAAAAACCGCGCAAGTAACCGAAGTGACTAAAAAATTTCTTGGCAGTTCAATTTTTACGGTCGCTTATCCGGACACGCGTAGTTTTATAACAAACTTTTTTTTAAATTTTCAAACCAGTGCGACAAAATATGGGAGACTCAGACGATCCATTTGGGTCACCAAACGGAGCTCAAATTAGAAAATTAGAGAAAGAAATCAAAGCTTTGGAAGGCGCATCGGCCATCCCTAGACGGGATAGCATACAAAGAACACCCCAAGAACATCACCTAAGACACGTAGTTCATCAATATC